CCCCATGTGACAGTGACACTCGTAGTAACATGTGCAATTTATGAAGGCAGAATGTGTCTAAATCAGACCTGGGAAAATTTTTTCTCAAGGGCCACATCCAGGCCTTTGGCTTTCCCTATGCAGCCCTTGATGTCTCCACTGTCAGCATGCCACTCTGCTTCCTCAGAGAGACATGCTAACAGATGTCTGTTTAGAGAGCTGCGAGAACTGGAGAGGGAGAGCCTGAGGAGCTGATCGGTGCAGCATCGATGGAGCATTATCTAGAAGATATCTGCTATTTGGCCAAGTTCTTCCTGTGCTTAACCACTTGTCTACCGGACACTTATACCCCCTTCCTGCCCAGGCCAATTTTCAGCTTTCAGCGCTGTCACACTTTGAATGACAATTGCGCAACATTGTACCCATATGAAATTTTTATCATTCTTTTCACACAAATAGAGTTTCTTTTGGTGGTATTTACTCATCACTGGGTGTTTTATTTTTTGCACTATAAACAAAAAAAGAGCAAAACATTTGGAAAAAAAAGTTTTTCTTTGTTTCTATTATAAACTTTTGCAAACAGGTAATTTTTCTCCTTCACTGATGGGCACTGATGAGGCTTCAGTGATAGGCAGCACTGATGAGCACTGATAGGCAGCACTGATGGGCACTGATAGGTGGCACTGATGAGGGTGCACAGATAAGCAGCATTGATGACGGGGCACAGATAGGCGACACTGATGAGCTGACACTGATGATGATGCACTGATATGCAACAATGATGGGCACTGATGGGCAGTACTGATGGGTGGCACTGACTGGCAGCACTGCTGGGCAGCACTGATGGGTTACACTGATAGGGGCCACTGCTGAGCACTTGTGGGTGGCACTGCTGGGCACTGGTGGGTGGCATTGCTAGGCACTGCTGGGCACAGGTGGGTGGCACTGCTGGGCACAGGTGGGTGGCACTTGTGGGTGGTACTTCTGGGCACAGGTGGGCGGCACTGGTGGGTGGCACTTCTGGGCACTGATCATCAGTGCCTTGATGATCAGTGTCGATCTGTTTTCTGACAATTGCCAGTAATCGACAGTACTTTCCTCACGCTGTGACAGCCGATAACCAGCAACTGCATTTACTCAGTGATCTGCTGTGTCATTGGACACAGCTGATCATGTGGTAAAAGGCTGCTGTGATTGGCCTTTTTAACCACATCATGTGTTCAGCTGTGTCCGTAGGACACAGCGATCATGTAGATCGCCGGGTGTGCGACCTCCCAGAACAGGACAACCGCGCTGTAGCCGTCATTCGGCTATAGCACAGTTGGCAAGTGGTTAAGCATCAAATGCTGCAAACCCTGGGAGCCATGCACCTGTTCTTCATTCCAGGTCAGGATATTCAGAAATCCCCACTGTACCAATCTTGGTCTGTCTCCTTCCAGTCATAGTGCTTTTCAGAGGCATATGACAAGCAGTGAGCAGACATTATATAGCATCCTCCGCGCCTAATTTACCCCTATAATGCTGCACTACTGTACTGAAATGATGTGCATTTCACGTAGTTGTGGTGCATCCACATTGAAGTCAATAGTCAAGTTTGACAAGTGCTGCCAGTCTGGGTGGGTAGCCAGGGGGCAGTAAAAACCGTGGCACAACCACCTGTTTTTGCCTCCCCTGACCACCCATCTGAGAGAAACCTAATTCATGAGCTGTTGCACCTATTATTTCTAGTACCAAATGTTTGTTTTCTATAGGTTTACATGCTTATTGTCCTTCTCAGGTCCCAAAAAATTAATATTGAGCAGAATTAAGTTTGGCTCTCCACAACAGTCCCATTTTCTCATGTGGCACCTTGGGAAAATTAACGGCCCATCCCTGGTCTAAACTAACCACTGATTCTTCATATACTGTATCTTTAGCTAATGTAGATTGAAGACACAGAGTCCCCAATCTGTAGCTCACCTAGTTGGTATCACCAGTACTGTTGAGTACTCAACCTGCAAGTGTTCACAAGTCAGTACAGGAGTCTTACTGCATCCTGACATGACCTGCAGTGATCCCAGGCTTATAGAGGTGAGTAAAAAAAATGAGGGCACGCATAAGGAACATTAAAAAATGATCACTTATACAGTAACCATCAATGCATTTAAAGCAAACTTGCACCCATTATTGTGTCCACAACCTTGTGTTCAGCCTCACAGATGACAATCCCTGCTCATGTATTTGTTCATCAAAAACTCAGTTTAAATTACCAAGGCTTGTTATAGATTTACTTAATGTAAAGGCATTTATTTTTTTACATTGCATCAGAGGATATCTGTATGAAGGAACATACCAGTGCTTGTGTGTACGTGGCTGGATAGAACTCTTAGGCTCTTAGTGAGCACCTGCATTACCATCATGTGTGGAATAGTGTGAAAAACTCTGGACAGCTGCACTCTTTATCCGCCTTTATTGCTCCTTATAAAATCAAATGAACAGTCACAGTGGGAAAGGAAAAGGTTAACGCATTTCACGCTCTCTTCACTGCTTACTCATAACCTACCAGTCTGTCTTGGCAGCTCTGCAGATATAACTTCTTGCATTCATATGCTCAACTGCACCTAATGGGACCGGTCAGTTAGCTTTCATCTCCAAAACAAAAACATAAACATTCTATCCAGAAATCAACAAACTAAACCAAATAAAAAAAAAAAAAGATAATATATGGTACGCCAAGGACAATACTCTCTAGATCACAAGGATTGTGACGTGCAACAAATAAGTAAAAAAAAAAATATGCCATCAAAGTGCAATATAAAAAAAAAAAAAAATATATATATATATATATATACAGGTGAAACTCGAAAAATTAGAATATCGTGCAAAAGTTCATTTATTTCAGTAATGCAACTTAAAAGGTGAAACTAATATATGAGATAGACTCATTACAAGATAGTTCAAGCCGTGATTTGTCATAATTGTGATGATTATAGCTTACAGCTCATGAAAACCCCAAATCCACAATCTCAGAAAATTAGAATATTGTGAAAAGGTGCAATATTCTAGGCTAAAAGTGTTCCACTCTAATCAGCTAATTAAGCCATAACACCTGCAAAGGGTTCCTGAGCCTTTAAATGGTCTCCCAGTCTGGTTCAATAGGAATCACAATCATGGGAAAGACTGCTGACCTGACAGTTGTGCAGAAAACCATCATTGACACCCTCCATAAGGAGGGAAAGCCTCAAAGGTAATTGCAAAAGAAGTTGGATGTTCCCAAAGTGCTGTATCAAAGCACATTAATAGAAAGTTATGTGGAAGGGAAACGTGTGGAAGAAAAAGGTGCACAAGCAGCAGGGATGATCGCAGCCTAGAGAGGATTGTCAGGAAAAGGCCATTCAAAAGTGTTGGGGACTTTCAAAAGGAGTAGACTGAGGCTGGAGTCAGTGCATCAAGAGCCACCACACACAGACGGATCCTGGACATGGGCTTCAAATGTCATATTCCTCTTGTCAAGCCGATGCTGAACAACAAACAACGTCAGAAGCTTCTTACCTGTGCTAAAGAAAAACAGACCTGGTCTGTTGCTCAGTGGTCCAAAGTCCTCTTTTCTGATGAGAGCAACTTTTGCATCTCATTTGGAAAGCAAGGACCCAGAGTATGGAGGAAGAATGGAGAGGCACACACTGCAAGATGCTTGAAGTTCAGTGTGAAGTTTCCACAGTCTTTGTTGATTTGGGGAGCCATGTCATCTGCTGTTGTTGGTCCACTGTGCTTCATTAAGTCCAGGGTCAACGCAGCCATCTACTAGGAGATTTTGGAGCACTTCATGCTTCCTTCTGCAGACAAGCTTTATGGGGATGTTGACTTAATTTTCCAGCAGGACTTGGCACCTGCCCACACTGCCAAAAGCACCAAAACCTGGTTCAATGACCGTGGGATTACTGTGCTTGATTGGCCAGCAAACTCGCCTAACCTGAACCCCATATAGAATCTCTGGGGCATTGCCAAGAGAAAGATGAGAGACATGAGACCGAACAATGCAGAAGAGCTGAAGGCCGCTATTGAAGCATCCTGGTCTTCCATAACACCTCAGCAGTGCCACAGGCTGATAGCTTCCATGCCACGCCACATTGAGGCAGTAATTGCTGCAAAAGGGGCCCAAACCAAGTACTGAGTACATATGCATGCTTATACTTTTCAGAGTTCCGATATTGTTCTATGTACAATCCTTGTTTTATTGATTGCATGTAATATTCTAATTTTCTGAGATTGTGGATTAGGGGTTTTCATGAGCTGTAAGCCATAATCATCACAATTATGACAAATCACGGCTTGAACTATCTTGCTTTACATGTAATGAGTCTATCTCATATATTAGTTTCACCTTTTAAGTTGCACTACTGAAATAAATGAACGTTTGCACGATATTCTCATTTTTCGAGTTTCACCTGTATATACAGTAAATATATATATATATATATATATATATATACACACACCCACACTATATTGCCAAAAGTATTAGGATGCCTGCCTTTACACGCACATGAACTTTAATGGCATCCCAGTCTTAGACTGTAGGGTTCAATATTGAGTTGGCCCACCCTTTGTAGCTATAACAGCTTCAACTCTTCTGGGAAGGCTGTCCACAAGGTTTAGGAGTGTCTACGGGAATGCCTGACCATTCTTTCAGAAGCACATTTGTGAGGCCAGGCACTGATGCCGGACGACAAGGCCTGGCTCGCAGTCTGCACTCTAATTCATTCCAAAGGTGTTTTATCGGGTTGAGGTCAGGTCAGTCAAGTTCCTCCACCCCAAACTCGCTCATCCACATCTTTATGGACCTTTCTTTGTGCACTGGTGCGCAGTCATGTTGCAACAGGAAGGGGCCATCCCCAAACTCTTCCCACAAAGTTGGGAGCATGAAATTGTCCAAAATGTCTTGGTATGCTGACACCTTAAGAGTTTCCTTCATTGGAACTAAGGGGTCAAGCCCAACCCCTGAAAAACAACCCCAAACCATAACTCCCCTCCACCAAACTTTACACTTGGCACAATGCAGTCAGGAAAGTACTGTTCTGGCAACCGCCAAACCCAGACACCTCCATGAAATTGCCAGACAGAGAATAGTGATTTGTCACTCCAGAGAACATGTCTCCACTGCTCTAGAGTCCAGTGGCAGAGTGCTTTATACCATTGAATAGTATGCTTTGCATTGCACTTGGTGATGTAAAGTTTGGATGCAGTTGCTCGGTCATGAAAACCCATTCCATGAAACTCCGCTCTGTCATTTTACGTGGCCTACCACTTCATGGCTGAATTGCTGCTGTTTCCAGTTGCTTCCACTTTGTTATAATACCACTAGCAGTTGACTGTAGAATATTTAGTAGCAAGGAAATTTCACGGATGGACTTATTGCACAGGTGGCAACCTATCACAGTACCATGCTTGAATTCACTGAGCTCCTGAGAGCGACCCATTCTTTCAAAAATGTTTGCAGAAGCAGTCTGCATACCTAGGTACTTGATTTTATACACCTGTGGCATAATGGTGATTGGAACACCTAAATCCAATGATTTGGAGAGGTGTCCCAATACTTTTGGCAATATAGTGTGTGTGTGTGTATGTATATATATACAGTGAAGGAAATAAGTATTTGATCCCCCGCTGATTTTGAATGTTTCCAACTCACAAAGAAATGATCAGTCTAGAAAATCGAATGGTAGGTGTATTGTAACACTGAGAGACATAATAGCAACACAAAATTCAAAAGAACTGCATGTCTAACAAATTATGCACTGATTTGCATGTTCATGAGGAAAATAAGTATTTGATCCCCTGTCATTCAGCAGGATTTCTGGCTACCAGGTGTCTTTCTTTCATACAGGTAACAAGCTGAGATTAGAAGCAGTCTCTTAAAGGGAGTGCTGCTAATCTCATTTTGTTAACTGTATAAAAGAAACCTGTCCACAGGAGCAATCAAACAATTAGATTCCAAACTCTCCACCATGGCAAAGACCAAAGAGCTGTCCGAGGATGTCAGGGACAAGATTGTAGACCTACACAAGGCTGGACTGGGCTACCAATCTATCACCAAGCAGCTTGGTGAGAAGGTGACAACAGTTGGTCCAATCATTCACAAATGGAAGAAACACAAAACAACTGTCAGTCTCGACAGTTCGAGTTGCCAAACATCAGCCACCAAACCTTAAAGACTTGGAGAGGATCTGCCAAGAGGAGTGGGCCAAAATCCCTCCTGAGATGTGTGCAAACCTGGTAGCCAACTACAGGAAACATCAGACCTCTGTGATTGACAACAAGGGATTTGCCACCAAGTACTAAGTAATGTTTTGTGAAGGGGATCAAATACATTTTTCCCTCATGAACATGCAAATCAGTGCATAATTTGTTAGACATGCAGTTCTTTTGAATTTTGTGTTGCTATTCTGTCTCTCAGTGTTACAATACACCTACCATTCAATTTTCAGACTGATCATTTCTTTGTGAGTGGGCAAACATTCAAAATCAGCAAGGGATCAAATACTTATTTCCTTCACTATATATATATATATATAGTGGGACACTTTGGGACACTAAACTACTAAATACTTCCACAAATGCAGGCCATCATTGTTTGCAAACCAGATTTGTTAATTTGCACACACAAAAAAGTATTTTCCCTAACAAATTTATTTAAGACCTCGTTGCAAACATGAATACATCCCAATGAAGGTCTTAGGAGCAAAACTGCATTTTAGGCAACAAAATCCTAATTAACAAAAATTCAACTACAGGTGAGTCTAATTTTTCATTAAACAGGTGTCCAGCAGACAGTTGATTATAAAAGGGTGTTACATAACAAAGAAAATCCCTTCCCATTTCATGCTGTCAGCAGTGGCACCACATGGAGGAGAAATGTCACAAAACCCTAGAAAGAAAATAATTTCTTTACACAAGAAAGGTGAAGGCTGCAAGAAGATCAGCAAAGCTTTACTTATCAGTCAGAATACTGTAGCAAGTGATACAAAAATTTAACAAAGTTAGAATGGCAACCATCTCACAGAGACATCCGGGCCCTCCATTGAAGTTAACACCTCGACAGGAGTGTCTTCTGATGAGAAGGATTGAAGAAAATCACTATGCATGTTCACTGCATTTAGCTAAAGAAGTAGAAAGCCAAACTGGGGTGATTGTTTAACGTGAAACACTAGGGCACACACTGTAAAGGAATGGCATGCATGGGTGTCGTCCACAAAGGAAGACTCTCCTAAAGCCCTTGCACAAAAAAGCCCACCTAGAATTTGCCAATTTAAGGCCACTCTTGCATTTCTGAAGAAGAACAGGGTGAAAGTGATTCAGTGGCTAAGTATGCCTCCTGATCAGAACCCAATCGAACACGTAAGGGGAATTCTGAAGAGACAAGCTGAGCATCACTCTCCATCCAGCATCCAAGCTCTAAAAGAGGTAATTCTTCAGGAATGGGAAAAGATCGATTGTTGCAATATGTCACCAACTTGTTCATTCCATGCCTAGAAGACTTGGTGCTGTCCTTACAAATCATGGAGGCCATACAAAATACTAGATGGAGTAGTTTTTGTTGTGGGGTGTATTCATTTTTGCATCAAATAATTTGAGAAAAACTGAGGATCTTTAATTAATCTAAGTTATATTATTAACCTTACTTTCATGTAGTGAGCTAAACAAATGTTACTTTTCAAAAGGGGTGTACTCATTTATGCTGAGCACTGTATATGCACAGTATATATATCAATTCTGTTTATTTCAGGTGGGTTGGAGATCAGCTAGCGCCACATCCCATATTTTGAATATCTAGCATTATATGAGAAGAAAAGGGATTTTTTAGGTGCTCAACAAATGTCACACTTAGTATGCACTAAAATCAATACAAAGCTTTATTCCATATTAACATAGAAAAAAACTACATCACATTAGTCGTTTTTAAAAATATAAAACCAACATGATACTTCATATTGGCTTGAAGTTCACAATGCAACAATTCCAACTCGACATGTTTCACCAAATTTCTGGCTTCTTCAGGAGATTTACAGGTAGTTGCATGTAATTGCTACTAGAAAACTAGAATACAAACAATAAACAATTTTGACTTTACAGAATTACAAAAAATAGTAACAGAATCATCCATACAATACATACAAAATCAATGTCTACTAAATGTAGGTTTTTATGGGGTTAACCCACCAAGGCCGTACTTACCAGGTATATCTTGATACAGGCATACCTCAGTTTACAAATTTAATTCGTTCTGTGGGACTTTTTGTATAGTGAAAAATTTGTAAACAAAAACGCTGTTTCCCATAGGAATGCATTGAAAACCAAATAATCTGTTCCAGAGGTCAGAAAAAAGTAAACGCTACTAAAATAGCTCATGAGTTGTTTTATCAAGTCATGCGGTATTTTAGTACTGATAGCCATGTGTTAATGTTTCAGCTGTCAGTGGGGTTCCCCACTGACAGCTTAGTGTAAAAGAATTGCCGGCAATTAAAAAAATAATTTTGAGGTCCCCCCTCCCACACGTACCAAGCCCTTCAAATCTGGTATGGATTTTAAGGGGAACTCCCATGCCAAAATTAAAAAAAAATTACATGGGGGTCCCCCCAAAATCCATACCAGACCCTTATCCGAGCATGCAGCCTGGCAGGTCAGGAAGGGGGGGGGGATGAGCAAGCACCTCCCCCCTCTCCTGGACCATACCAAGTCACATGCCCTCAACATGGGGGGGTGCTTTGGATCAGGGGTGCTGCCCCCCAATCACCTTGTCCCCATGTTGATGGGGACAAGGACCTCTTCCCCACAACCCTGGTCGGTGGTTGTGGGGGTCTGTGGGCAGGGAGCCTATCGAAATCTGGAATCCCCCTTTAACATTCTGAGATCTGGTGTTACCTGAGCTAACAAAATGGGTTCTGTGCGTACATCATCCCTATGTGAATTGGACTCTCCAGCCCTATGTGTTGAATTTTGTATGTGAAAGATAGTAGAAGATGAGCTAAGGACCATATCACCTAAAGCAGAGACATCCAAATGAGATTGTGGTGCAAAAGTAACATCAGAGTTTCCTGATTGGGAGGATCATGAAGAGTTACGTATGCGACCTGAATAAGAAGTGCGCTTCAGTGCAGACATGTGAGGTCCCTCTCCCTCATTGTTCTGTTTATAGGGCCCCTGGGTTTGAGCACCAGATTGCAGAAAATTAACCTGTGAAGAAGATGCAGAAGAGTAAGAGGATGAAGCATCAGAGATATTAGGGTCATTGGTGGGAGCTGTTTGATATGCCATAGCTTTACTCCTACGTTTTTTTCCCCATTATCATGTGCCCATTTATATGCCTGATTGGAGTCAAAGGAGATTTTAATCCATACATATTTCTTCTCTTTTGTTTTCAAAATTTCAGTGAAAAGGACTCTAACTGTACTTTTAGAGCCCCTTCTTGCTGAGAGAAGGTAACATCAGATACTACATTGTTGTTATCACTATAAAATTTTTCAATCTCCTTGTCAATCATTTCCAATTCACTTGTATATTGTTGACATAATAATTCCATCATTTTACAGGAACATAATTGGAGATTGTTCTCCCAATCCATCCTGTGTTCTACCCCTACTTTCCTGATATTGGAAAAAATTTGGATTCATAACCCCCATGGGGAGATTCCCTCTTCCATATATTGATACGCTTTGAGTCTGATGAATCTGATCCACTAGTCCCTCAAACACTATCCCACAGTAGTTATTCATGATTGAGCTTATAAGAATCACAATTAACAGCTCACGGCAATATAACAAGAACAATAGAAATTACATGTTTTAAAATTATACGCTAATTTCTAGACCACCGAAGAGGTTGGAGATTGAAACACCTGGTAGAAGCAAATTCTATGATTATTTCAGGTGGGCTGGAGATCAGCTAGCACCACATCCCATATTGTGAATATCCAGCATTATATGAGAAGAAAAGGGATTTTTTAGGTGCTCAACAAATTTCACACTTAGTATGTACTAAAATAAGTACAAAGCTTTATTCCATATTAACATAGAAAAAAACTACATCAAATTAGTCGTTTTGAAAAATATAAAACCAACATTATACTTCATATGGCTTGAAGTTCACAATGCAACAATTCCAACTCAACATGTTTCGTCAAATTTCTGGCTTCTTCAGGAGATTTAAAGGTAGTTGCATGTAATTGCTGCTAGAAAACTAAAATACAAACAATAAACAATTTTGACTTTACAGAATTACAAAAAATATTAACAGAATCATCCATACAATACATACAAAATCAATATCTACTAAATGTAGGTTTTTATGGGGTTAATCCCTGAGGCCATTCTTACAAGGTGTGTCTTGATCAGGGGCGGACTGATCATTTGGAAACTGGGGCACTGCCCAAGGGCCCGGGGTCAGTAGGGGGCCCCATGAGATGCCCCTGGTACCTTTTTAATAGGCTTTTTTGAGTTTGGGCAAGGACACAGGGGCCCCA